AAGGCCCATGGGATTCATCTGTGGATGTGCTCCCCTGAACTGGTGATGGACAAATCTCGGCTGATTCAAGACCAGGAACCAGGGTCCTCTTGCTTTCCTGTCACTAGGTTTGCATGGTTCAAGCTGGTGCAGCTCTGGTTTGAGGATGGCTACTCTGCGTTTAGGGGAATATGGGGCCCTTGCCATCAAGGGGGATCGAAATATGTAAAATTCAGATAGATGGCTGCAAAGGTCTTAGGTGATATGTGGCCCCAAAGAAGGCCTTTGCTGTGTACTCAGAGACTCTCAAGTGACCAGGACTCAAGCAGGACATCAGTTTGCAGCCCTTTCCTTCCTGGAGTGAACTGCCTCTGATCTGTAAGTCATTAGGTATTCTTCAGGAGTCACCAGCTCTATTTGTGGCAGAAGGCACATGATCACTGAAGGAGACTATGCTGTTGAAGCCCATACCTTTTCCACATCTTTGGCTCATTGGGGATCCTTTTATGTTGCCCAGGGATCTGGGCATCTTTATCAAGGGTAGCATGGAGGAAGGAAGGGGCAGGAATACTGGAAGCTACTGGTTGGGTTCTGCTTCCTTGGATTAGAGGTTTTAAGTCAGAAATGCTTAAAGCCGGATCTGGAGTATGAAAAGGAACCACTAAGCAAAAAGCAGAGGGAAGAACATTCTAAGTACATGTAAATGCACTGTGGCAGACAAGAACTGGACATGCTTGAGGGATGAAAGGAGGTCAGTATGGAATAAGTTCAGGGAAGTTGGGCCAGCATGCACAGACTTCAAGAAACACAACAAAGAGTTTGGGTTTGAAAATGATTGAAGTAGGAGTATGATAGGGCCTGATTTAGTATTTGTATTTCCCAAAAGATCATGGTGACCAGTTACGAGTGAGGCTTGGGTTAGAGATGGGGAAGCCTGGAAATGTCAGGGATTTCTGGGCAGGAAATGAATGGTGGCCTGGACTAGAGTGATGGTATAGGAGGCACAAATCAGTTGTCTCCTCTCTTTCCTCAGAGCTCCTCCCCTGTCCATGGAGCAAGTGTAAGGATGCAGTGCTCAATGTTTAGACTGATGGATTCTATCAAGCAGACTTCTAATGTTTGCCTGTGGTCTTATTTTATGCCAGTTAGCTCTCTGTCACTATGAAACTACCAGAGGCCACAGCATAGAGAGAGGAACGGCTTACTTTGACTCACAGTTTTAGAAGATTCAGTCTATGGCCCATTGTCTCACTGCTTTAGATCATGGCCAGGGAGTGTGGCTTGAATAGACCTTTCACCTCATGGTGGCTGGGATGCAGAAGAACAGGAAGGGGTGGATGATTATATTCCCTTGGGACATATCCTGAGTCAAGTCCCTCTCCTCTTGAAGATTTGTCACCTTCGGGTAATGAGGCTGAAGCATATGAATTTTTAGGGGATACTTATGATACAATCCACAACAATGTTCTTGCTTATCAATAACATTATTATATAGTCACTAGCAATAGATGTTGAGCATCTTCTGGAATGGGGAATGAGTTAACCCCTCACTGTTGCATCGCTCGACATATTCCTGACTGGGAGGAAGTGAGGAAGCATGTGTCCATTCCCTGACTGAAACATCTCTGGGCAGGGAGGTATGAGGCTAGTCTGTTCTGATGTCCTGCTCGTGTCTTTGCCCTTCTGAGAAGAGGCAGCACCTGCATGTATTAGGCATGGATGCTGCTATTTTCAAGGGAGCCCCGTCATCGAACAAACAGAAATCATCGTTATTCTTATGTCTGGAAGTGGTTGATACCATAGAGCCCTTACCTGTTTCCATGTGGTCTGGTCTGCTGAGCTGCTATTCTGGGATTTTCTTGGGCACCAGTGCATCAGTGGATAGCCCATTAAGGCTGGAGCAAGATCAGACTTAGCCGGTGGCATCGGTTCAGCTGGCAGCCAGGAGGCAAAGCTTTGAATCAGCCTTATAATTTGAAAATTGGTCTTTGCATTGGGTGGTGATTTTGTGCTAACAAAAAACATCAGAGAAACAATGTGGGCTGCTCTACCTTCATGGCGTTACTCTGGACTCAGAATCATTGCTGTTACAGAGATGAAGTTCCCCACTCCCCGGACTCCTGTACTTCTCATTGTGAGTGTCCTCGAGACACTCCTAGAACCTCAGGTCTGGATGGGAAAGTGACCATCCTTTGGAGAGGCAAAGGTCCCCTCATGGGGACTGACTTTGGAGAATACACTTCTTTCTTTCCTGCATGTGGCCATTTATGGTGGGAGTGTCTTGCATCACTCAAAGGCTATAGCAGTATTCTTGGATAGCTGTATTCTTGTCCTCTGACCAGGGAGAAGTTGATATTCCATTCCCCTGCACTCTGAGGCTTCTGAGCATGTGCTTTCCCCAGATTTATGTTCCAGAGGTGTCCTGGTGTTCTGGAAATGGGTCTCAATATAAATAAGGAACCCTATGGGTGCTCAGAAGTCCATTCAGGAGGCCTGGACATTGCCTCTGGCTTGCTCAGGGAGATCCTGCCTTTTGCTCAAGGTGCCCTGGACCCTTGCTGGTTTTTACACTAGTGCTTTCCACCTTCTTCTTAAGAGTCATCCCAAATCCCTAGCACTGCTTGGTTTGTGATTGAGTCAACTGGTAAGAGATCAATGGAGGTGATTGACTAAGGGCAGTTGAAACACATTGACACGAGTAGGGCAATGGTGTGCAAAGCTGACAGGCAAATGTCACTGCTTTATAGATGTAGGGGAAGATAAAGCCAGGGGCTAAAATATTATCCACTAAATTTTGTCAATGCCAAATAGAGTCTACAAAGTCAAAATTGCATGGCACAGACAGAACAAAGCAAGGAAAAATTAAGTTACAGCCCAGTTTGGCAAACCAAGATGGGATACAGGGCTGCTTTGGAATTGGTCACACGTGTGAAAAAAAGAAACAGGGATATTTTCCACTCTCAGTCACCAGGGAGGTACCCTTGAAAGTCATCAGGCGTTAATATTGGAGATGCTATTCTTTAAATATAGATATTCACCGCTTTCTCCTCAGCCCAGAAAGTTCAGGAGGAGGTGTGTATGCATTCCTGTCCTTGTGTGCACACACTTGTGCATGAGTGTGGAGTGTTGGAAGAGCCAAGGAAGGAGTATAGTGTGGCAGTTCACTGTGAGTTCCGAGTGCAGCAGAGTCTTCCACTGTCTCATTTTGTGACCTTTAATGAGTCACGCGCTCCTTTGTTTTCTTGTGTGTTGAATAAAGACACTTATCTTGCAGCTCAGGAGAACAGCTCTGCTTCAGCTGTCTTGACTAATCCAAACCCATGCTCTCAGTTTTCTGCTCTGGGGTCTTAATAAGAAAACCCAAGTTCCCGCTTCCCGGGGCCTTCCTTACTTTATACTCAGCATCTGTGTATTGAGAGCAGGGCAGGAAATGACAAGTTGTGACAGAGGGGGCTTCTCAGTCTAGGAAAGGTCTGTTCGCCACAGGCCTGATATTCTGGTAAATATACTGTACCCTGGAGCAGCTGCCTGGAGCCGCTGGGCAGAGGAAGGGAGGAGAGTGAGGGGACTGTGTGGTGAGATGAGTATACCAGGGAAGTGGGTACAATGGAGACACTTTACCAGGGTCTATGGATTAAGGTTAAAGTCTGATGCTACAGAAATCAGACAACAGCTGTGCAAGTGGCTGATGACAGCTGGTACCAAGGAAGGCCTGATGTGCTTGTCTTGATATCCGGTGGATGATAAGTAGATGGCATCTGTGCATTTCCCACCCCTTCCCTCTGTCCACGGCAGGTAATGATAATCTGTTACGATAAGCTTTCCTCTCATGCCCAGAAGAGTCTCAGCACCCTTTCAGCAGCATTGTGGAATCTGATGTCAATCATTTGGCTTCCAGTTGAAATTTATTGCCTGTGGCTGTTGTGATGGGGAAGACATAGACTTTGGAACCCAGCAAGTGTGTTGAGCACTGTGCAAGCATGTTGGTTGCCTCTCTTTTGATTGCATGAGACAGATAACTGACTCATCTTAACTGAGCAACATCTAAGTTACTAAAGTAACTTAATCGTCTCAGTGATGGAAGAAAGTGGCTTGGGGAAGACCCTAGCACCTCCCAACAGTGCCTCCCTGGGAGCACATCCAGATCACTTCACTGGATATGAGCTTACTTTAGCCTAGCCCCCTCACTGCCTTGTGTTTATCTTTGCTCTTGGAGCACCAGTCAGAGTTGAGAGTATCACACTCTTCATTGTACTGTGTATTTGCATCACCAGTTCCTGTGCTGGTATGCCTACTCATTCACTTATTTTTCCTTCTTCCTAATTCTATGTCTTACCTGCATCTTCTCCCTTTCCTTCTTCAAGTAACCATTTTTATCTAAATGGTTTTAGATAAAAACTGTTACCAAAAGAACCATTTATTGGTGTGTTCTTTTTTTTCTTTTTAAATTTTTTTATATATTTGAATTACAAACAAGATTGAATTACATGACGATCCCAGTTCCCTTCTCCCTCCCTTCCTCCTCTACCAATCCCCCAACTATAATCCTACCTATCATATGTCCTTTCTTCTAATCTACACCTGACTTAACCTTTCTGCTTCCTCATGGCCTCTGCATCCTTAGCTTCCTCCTATTGGTGTGTTCTTATAAACAAGTATTTTAAGGCCCATATGTTGCAGTATTGATTTCACCTTGCCCTGTACTTTTTCTCACTATCTCAGTACTATGAAAGCACAGTCTCAACTCTTGTCTGTCTAAGTCAAGGCAGTGAGGCCAGAGAGGAGAATGACATGTCCAAGGTCATCTAGTTGAACTAGGTCAAGCAAGGCCTAGAATAGATTTCCTGGCTGTATTTCTCAGCATACATATTGGTGTTTTTGTATGTCACCTCCCAAGTTCCTGCAACAGCTTGAAAAAAGATTTTTTTCTTTGTTTTTCAAAACTTGTGTCTGGAATTCAAAGTGTGTCCCCAGTGCTCCCATTTTCATCATAGTAACTGTTGTCTTTTCTTTCATTGCAGGTTCCAACTATGGGAGCCCACGCCCAGCTCACGCCAACATGAATGCCAATGCAGCTGCAGGGCTCGCCCCTGAGCACATCCCTACTCCAGGGGCAGCACTGTCCTGGCAGGCAGCCATTGATGCTGCCCGGCAGGCCAAGCTAATGGGCAGTGCTGGCAACGCAACCATCTCTACCGTCAGTTCCACACAGCGGAAGCGGCAGCAGTACGGGAAACCCAAGAAGCAGGGTGGTACGACTGCCACACGGCCACCCCGTGCTCTGCTCTGCCTGACTCTGAAGAACCCCATCCGGAGGGCATGCATAAGCATTGTTGAATGGAAATATCCTTTATGCTCTGGGCTGGCCAAGGTGTTCTTTGGACCTGCACCGAGGGGCCAACTGGCCCTCTGGGATACCAGGAATAGACTTGGGCTGGTGATGTTAGGTCAATCTTGTATTTGCTGCCTCAGAGATGAAAGTTAGAAATCTAGACCTCCCTGCTAGACTCCATGAGTCATTATCTCAGAGGACAAGGTCCCAGAATTTGTGGGTATTACAAACACCCCTAAACCAAACATCCAAAATCTCAATTTTCCTCAAACCTAAATATCGACATGATGGCATAAATAGAAAATTGTCCACTTGATCTTATGTGACAGGTTGCAGTCAAAATGCAGGCGCTAAAAATTTGTGTTGTCTGTATGTATAAGTGAATTTCAAGTTCAGACTTGGGTCCCATCCCCAAGATTTCTCATTATGAATCTGAAGAGATTCCAAAATCCAAACAAATCTTAAGCACACAACACTTTCAGTCCCAAGCATTTGAGAGAAGGGACACTCAATCTGTCACAAATAACGTCAGAGGAAACTTGTGTATAGTCGATGTGGAATATGAACTTGAAGCCAAGCTGCCTGCTCATGTAGCTGTTCATCATGGTTGCATGCTTCTCCATAACGTTCTTTCCTATGGCATGGCGCTGGGGTGGCTCACCACCTGACCTCTTCCTCGTGTGAAGGGGCCAGGAGATGCATGAGAGCATGGAGGTCAGTGCTCTAGTTGTTGGCATAGGGCTTGGCAGCAGGGGTTCTCATCCTTGGCTCTGCATTGGAATCAGCTAGAAAGGTCTATCAAATTCTAGATGCCACAGGACCCAGTAGTCCCCAGACAGTCTACAGAGTTCTCCAGGCAAGGCTGTGGTATAGCCAAAGTTGAAAGCACTATCTGTAATAATGTGTATCTACTTTGAACACACAGAAAGGATTAGAGGGGCCTTTAGAAAACATGTCTTTGAAGCGCTGCACTGTCACCACGGACACAAGTCTTAATGTCTGAGTATTGAATTACAGTGGAAAAGACCTCAAAGCTCAGCCCTGACTACCATCAGGGATGGAATAAACAACATGAAACTCTCCAGGTTACATGACCAGGAGTAGACAGTGTTAGAACCCTGTGGCTTAGTGCTGGGTATTTTTTTTTTTTAACTCAAATTCAAATTTGAGTTTAAAAAGTCTAATTCAAAAAATTTTAACTCATATTCCTTCTGTATGGATGGAGTGCTCAGTTCTGTTTGTGAGGTTCTAGGGTAAGATTTAAAAACCTTGGGTAGTGGTTGGAAGATAAAAGAAGATGACCTGGGGTGAAAATATAGTTCAATGGAGCAAACATCACTCCTCCTTGGAATATTTGAATTCCTTTCCAAAGGTAACTATAACAGGATGCAGTTCTAAGCAACAGCTGTTGCTGAATTGTCCTGTCTGCTAAGCCACACGTAGTCCATTAATGAGTGAGAAATTGGGTTGGTCAGTATCGCCAGGCTGCCTTCAGAGTCATGGAGTTAAGAGAACTGGGACCCTGCAGATAACCGCTATGAAGGGAGAGCAGGTAGACCCTGAGATCCAAAAAACTTTTCTTAAGTTTTATAGCAGGTGATGACAAAGTTGGTTTTAAATCCAAATTCCCCACATTTAAATCCATGCACTTCCCAGACTCCCTGTACTATAGTACTGAATAGTGTACCCAAGGACTAGGCAAGGCTGGATAGTAACGAAGTGGTAATAGATAGTTACTAGGTGGGACCAGATAGTGAGTTGAACAAGATGGGTATCAGACAGGACTACATAGTTACTTGGTGGTACTAGATTGTGAATTACTAGGTGGGACTAGATAGTAACTAGGTGGGAATACATAGTTACTAGGTAGAAATGGTTACTAGATGAAAGTAGTTACTGGGTGGGAATAGATGGCCATCAGCCTGATACTCAGGAAGTGCATGCACTCCAGGCCTACAGGGACCTGAATCTGCAGCCCTCACTGGATGAATAGTGTGGCTGACCCTCCTGAGAGAAGGTGCTTTCTCTCCTTGGGAGAGGGAGGGGATGCAGCACACAGTATTAGCTGTGTGAAAGTTCCAGACTGCCTAGGACAGACAGGGAGAGAGCCTCATGTACTCAAGGCTCTTGAAAAGGTGGGTCCTGGTGCTTTCATCAGATGGGCAGTTTAAACAATGATTTGGTTCTTGGAGGGTGGCATGAGTACATCAGGCTCTGTAGGCGCTCTTTCCATCTCTGCTGCAGCTCTCCCCGTCTGCCTGTTGGTCCTCTTGACATACTGTATCCTCCTGCATCAGCCTGGAGCTTTAGTGTGTGGTGATGGGTGGGGTGCTTCTGTGTGTGTGTGTGTGTGTGTGTGTGTGTGTGTGTGTGCATGTAGCAGGGAAGGTGGGGGGCAGCACTTGAAACACTTCAAGCTTGGCTCCCTGACCTGTAGAGGCAGTGAGGACATCTGATGAGTAGATATTCATGGGGCCTGGCTCGTTTGCCTTCCTCTGTCCCTTCCTGCTAGGGCAGCAGACGGTGAGAATGGAACCTTGCAGCCAGGTCTGACAGTCATAGTCCTGAGCAGGTTGGGGCGTGGTTAGGAAGAGGGGGATGCAGTATGAGGGCCAGAAGAGCTGGTTTTCTGAAATGCCCTCAGGGCCACCCCAAGGCAGATCAGCACAAAGTGGTCTCAAAACTGACTCAGCAACCTACTTTCTGGGTCTGGGTCCCGTTCTAGCTGCTAACTTGATGACTTCAGGTACAATCCAACCTTTGTAAGCTTCAGTTTCCTCCATTAGCAGTAGAGATTACTGTCTCTCTCCAGGTGTTTGGCAGCAGGGGTTGGGGCAGTCATGACATGAAGGCTCTGGAGGAGTGCTGGATCCTGTCCTTGCTGTCACCTGCCTAACACTAGCTCCTGTCTCCATTGCTGTTGGATCCTGGCCACCTCAGGGCTGCAGGCTGTAAAGAATGAACCTATTGTTATGACTTGGCTCTGAGCCTGGCTCTGCTCCTTGACTTCTGGGGATTGTGGGCAGCTGTGATGATGGCCATGTCTGTAGAGGGGAGATTGGTCAGGTCCTCCTCACGTGGACAATGGCACATCTTATGAGGCACCCTCAGCTCTGCCATGGGGCTGCTGGGGATCGATCCATCATGAAGGCTGTCATTTAGATTCCTCATGAGTGCAGAACTCTGTGTCCTAGCCTAGCAGGCTTGTGAATCCAAGCTTGAATGCTGTGGCATGAGGTGACACTGGACATGGTGGCAGGAAATCCGGTTCCAGGGCTTCATGGCCACTCACCATGGGCCTCAAAGGTTTGGAACAGATCATCACTAGGGTCTCTTCCCGCTTCAAGATCTGTTACATCTATGAGAGTTTAGTTGGCTCCTTTTGTTACGAACATTCTTCCCACCTGTCTGGGCCCACTGCTGCATCAGCCCCATATGAACACACAAATGCTGTATTAGTTATAAAGCCATTGGCTGTTGGCTTGCGATTCTCATTGTCTAGCTCTGTCTTAATTATTAACCCATTTCTATTAATCTATGTATTTCCTCGTAGTCTTATATTACTGGGGAATGATGGACTTGCAACTCCTTTTCCTGTTACATGATGACTGCTCAGTGTCTCCACAGAGAAGAGAGCAATTTCCTGTTTGTCCCTTTTTATATTCTGATTCTTCCCAGCTACGTCACTTCCTGTCTGGCCAATCAGCCAATCAGTGTTTTATTCATTAACCAATAAGAGAAACATATACACAGAAGAACATTCCCATCATCCTCTACCCTGCAATTTTCATCCATTCCTTTCCTCTCGTTGGGATCTGTGCCAGTTAGTATTTTTGTCAATTTGGCACAAGCCCTGGTCATGTGGGAAAAGGGAACCTCAATTAAGAAGATGCTTCCATCAGATTGGCCTGCAGGCAAGTCTGTGAAACATTTTCCTGATTAATGATTAATGTAGACGGGCACAGCTCACCGTGGGCAGTGCCACCCCTGAGAAGAAAGCTGGCTGAGCAAGCCATGAGGAACAAGCCAGTAAACATCACCCTCTGTGCTCTGTGCTTAAGTTCCTGCTTCTAAGTTCCTGGCTTGAGTTCCTGCCCAGACTTCCCTTCCTGATAGCTATTAACTATAAACTGTAATATACTCTCTCCTCCCCACGTTGTTTTTGGTCATAAAGTTTTATCATTGCAATAGGAAGCCAATCAGAAGAGGCTCTGTGAAAGAGGCTAGGAACTTAGTTGTGGGAACACAGATTGGGACTTTCTGTGTCCTGCACTGATGCTTCCATGGTGAGAGAACATCAGAGTATGCTGTTACTACTGAGTAGACCCTGGGTTGATGCTCTATAGCCCAGGCTATCACTAAGTGTGGTAAGAGGACCAGTTCCAGTTAGTTGAGCCTTGTACACTAAAGACAGGGCCTCCACCTCTGAACCCACAGTGTATATCCTGCTTGATTTTGGGCAGCCCTTAGCCCTAGGGAGGTAGAACACTCCCAACTTTGCTTTCAAAAACTAAAAGCAGAATCTGTAGATTTCCATGAAGAGCTGCTTTGTTTAAAACCCCACTCCGATGCTTTCCCTTACCATGCATGCATGGGTCCATGGTGATAGTTTGTGAGCCATGAAATGGGGTCCTGTGGGGAATCCTTCCTGGGGCAGACAGGTCTCTTTACCCCAAGCTCACATGAGGAAAATGAAATCAAATGTAATCTAAATAAACAAAAGAGGGGAAGAAGTATTTAGAAACCTGTGTTTACTCTGGCACGCGACTGGCCTCCACTGCTCTTGACATATTAGGAAAAAATTTTGGCGGGGGTCCACTAGAAGCACTTAAAAGGCATATGTTTCTCTTCAGAATACAAGGGGCTTGGAATGCATTGTTTAAACAGAATTCTTATGAGTCTTTGATTCATTAAAAAAATATAGATAGATGTATGTTTGTTTCACTTGTGTTAACAGTGGCATTGATTTCCTTAACTCCTTTCTCAGACCATTTGAAATAATTATTTTACTGACTATTTTTGCCAATTGTGTGGCCTTAGCGATCTATATCCCCTTTCCAGAAGATGACTCCAACGCCACCAACTCCAACCTGGTAAGTCTGGCGCTTCTCTGTTTCTTACTACTTGTGAAGCAGCTGAGCTTAGACCACATGGATTCTGAGTGCAAGGTGGGAGAGAAATGAGATGTATGCTTGACAGGTGCCAACATTTGACGCAGCTCAGATCTTTGGGCCATGTTTCTTCCTTTTTTTCCCCAGTCAGTACCTGCCTTATCACAGTCTGCTCCCAGAAAGAATATTCCAATCAGTTGTGTACATGTATATGTGTGAGAGTAGTGGGTCTTGTGTGTGTTATAAATGTACTGCTTAATTCTTGAGTGCAGGTGCTGGAGCGAGCGTTCTTGGATTGTCAGTTGTGAGTATTTTGAGTGCCACTGTTCCTTTGTCAGGCTTTGTTCATGTGATCATATCATCCTGCACGATTGCATGATAAATAATTTCTAGGAAGACTTTAGCAAAGTTTCCTTTTGCGGCCAAGAGGTATCATTGAGTTAAAATGGCTTGATTTTCTTGGGAAAGGCGGTTTTCAATTTGGATTGCATAGAGGCCAACACTGGCAATTTGGGGTTAGTATTTGTCCATGGAAAAAGTGGAGAGCGTGTTTACTTTTGGCTGAGTGTGAAGTCATTGCAAATGCAAAGGCCTTTGCTGGTCTGGGCATGTGAGGCAAGCTCTGGAATGCACTTGGCAGAGCTGGGGCTGCCTGGAGAGCTCCAGCAAAAGCCTACAGAGAAATCTCGACTTTCTCCTCCCCGTGCCAAGACATTGGTAGTCTTCATGTGATTTTCCCAAAGCATGTTTGGTCACCAAAGCCACCATCTTTCCTGTCATTGCTGCCTTCTAGTTAGCTGAGATTGGACTCTTGCCTGAGGTCGGTTTAGGAGAAACAGGAATGTTATGGGATTCTCCTCCCTGTAGTTGTGGCTGGTGATGCTGTAAAGCGGGATCCCTTTTCTCTCAGAACCTTTGACATTTCCAAAGATACTAAATCTCTCAGCTTGTGCGTCTTGACCCTTGGAGAGTCACATATAAGATACCCTGCATATTAGATATTTATATTATGATTCATTATAGTAGCAAATTTACAGTTATGAAATAGTTATGAAATAATTTTTTGTTGGTGGTCACCACATGCATTAAAAGGTCACAGCATTAGGAAGGTTGAGAACCACTGGCTTAGATGCACATTTTAGAGTTCTCTTCAATTTCCTCAGGTTTTGCAATTAACTATAGACCTGTACTGGGGACTGTGTTCTGCCATGTGTGTATGGGTTGGGGTCCTTCTGTGTCTCATGGCTAGTATGGGGCCATGTACTAAGGATAGCTTCCTAAGGTCCCAGAGACAGGTACCAAGTATGGAGTGATGGCATGGCTAGAGTCATTAGGCAGAATATGCTTGCTGCAGTTCATGCAGCCAGTAGAGGTATGACCTTGTTTCTTAAAATAAAGAAATCTTTCCCATGCCAAGATAGTTCGAGCTAAAGTGTCATCCCAAAGCAGGAGCACCTTCCATTGATTCTAGCTCTTTGAAGTGTTTGCCTCTCTCCTTTGCTGCCCTTCCTGGGAGCTCTTGTCTTGTCATTTAACCTGAAGGAGCTTTAAAAGCAGCTCTGGTTAGAAACAGAATTCAGATCTGTTCTAGGGCTAATGCGTCTTTGGCTGGCTAAAACCCTCAGCCTTTCTCTGTGTGGGATGGAGGCCTAGTAGGTGATAACAAGGAGTCCATGTTGAACTTGTGGCTAGACACAGGACATGCTGGAGGGGTGGCAGTTTGTTTCTAGCCACAACAGACTGATGAAATGCTCTAAAACTAGAACTTACCAAAAAAAAAATCAAGTTGGATACTCAACAATGGGTAGATTTGTGGCAAGTAAATGACTCTCTGATATCTCTATGGCTCTCATTCCCATTCTCTTCCCTGGAGATGAGGCATGTAACCAACTGGCCAGTGCAGGAGGTAGGAACCAAGGATGGAATTGAGGACCCTACAGACCAAACAACCAAGCCCCACCCCACTTGTGGGCAGACGTGTTCTGCTGTGGAGATACACTGGGCGTGCGGTGGCCTGGCCTCTGCTCTTCCTCCTTTAATACATTTTACCTTGACAGTCTTCACACATCTTCCTCTCAGTGCTCTTGTATTATTTTACTCCATATACAGGGCGTTGCCAGTGATCCATCCTGGACACCCTCCATTCTCATTTCTGTCCCCTAGCACGGAAGGAAAGCCTTTTCCTTAGGAAGTGACTCCTAGGACTTGCTTCTCCAGCTCTAGAGCCTTCGGCACCAGGGCAGTACTTCCTGTATTGGAGGCTCATGGGCTTTGCAACTCCTCCTATGCCTGCCTGTCTGGAGACATTAATTGTGCATAGACCATGTTGAGCCCCTTCCAATTCAAAGTCATTTGTTTAAATTTTCTGTGCCTTAGATTCTTCATCTCTAAAGTGGGAACAGTAGCCACATAGTGTCTATATCATGAGCTTGGGGTGTTGACTGAGTCAGATTGTAGCAGTTCTTCCGAGAGTGCTGAAGGGCAGGGATGAAGATGGGGCATTCCCCATCATGTAATTGCCCATTACTTCACAATGTTGTTACTGTTGCTGTTGTTATCACTGTTCTTCTCATCCTTCCCAGGTGAGCACCGCTGTTTTCCCTAGACTTTCATGGCCACTTTTTTCTTGCATCCTCTCTCCAGGCTCTTCTTGCAGTGGGCTCAGGTAGTCATTTGGTCAATATTCACACCAGGAGTCAGGTGCTGCATTTGGGATACCGTAAAAGACAGAACCCATGACTAATAGGGAAATCGATGCATGCATAGATGTCTGCATAGTGATAGGTCTTATGAGAGGTGATTTCAAGGTCAAAATAGGTATTTGGAGCTGGACCCCATGTGTAAAGCCCTCTGGTCATACTTTTTATGGTACAGTACTAGTTTTGAGTGAATGAGAAGAGACAGTTGACAGGAGATTTAGCTTATGCCAACAGTTTGACTTAACTGCAGGCAACGAGGAGTCCAGAGTCTTTGAGAATAGGAGAGATTATTGCAGGACGAATGAGATGGCTAGTGTTTGTGAAGAGGGAACAAAATGTTACAAGGTCCAACTGACAGTGACAGTAGGCCTGCAGATGGGGTGGTGGAATCAGAAGACAAACTTTTATGACCACATGTGTGCTATGGTCTTGGGATGTTGATATGTAAACCATGTGTAAACCTTCAGGAGGGTCACATGTAAGGTGCGTGGGGGACCGGCCTAGTGAGGCTCTGTGGAAAATGTGAATGGAGACACTTGTGGGTGATGGGAGGGCTGGGAACAACAGGTTAAGGAGAAGAGGGAGAGGAAGGGTCCACAGGACAAAGAGCACCAGGAACAGAAGGCCCATGTTAGAGTCTGTGAGCATTGCTGTTTGCAGAGTAGTGGAGGAAGGCAAGTCAGAAAAGGACTTGCTGAGGTGAACTTAGGCTACAAGGAGAAGAGGACATTAGTCTGAATGTGTGCTTCACCTGCTCGACACAGTGGATGTATCACAACTGCTCACTGAGGCTCTCTGGCCAAAATAGTCCCCTGGCAAAATTATTCACTGACCCTGGAATGAAGCTTGAGAATTCCCCCAGCAGGTTAATAGCTAGTTTGTTTGTCTTAATAGAGACTCGCCATTTCAGAGTCCTGACTTGAGCCACAGCAGAGGAGAGACAGAGCTGTGTCTGAAGCTGTGGTTCTCAAACTCCCTGGCTTGAGAATTGTACGACCTCTGGGGCATTCATGTCCCCAGACCTGCCCTGATTCTGAGTCTGGAGTGGGGTCCGTGTACTCTGTGTTTTTAGCAGTTTTCCCTATTGCTTCTGAAGCAAGGGGCATGCATTGCTCTTTGTGAAAAGTGATCCAGAATGTTCTCTATTGTGAGCGACTCCACCTTCAGCTCCCTACACAGTCGGGTTCTGTCTACCCACAGCTCTCTCTAGGATCCAAACAGAGAGATGACACATTTCAACTGCTGAGAGGTTTCCCACTCTGCTGGGTGCAAGAGCAGTTTATTTAGCAAGGCATGCTCGTCCCAGTACAGAGCTTGTAAACTCACATGTGTGCCTGCTCCTATTCTTGGTTTCTCTTAGAACTCTACCAGCTTCCACCCATCCCCATTTCTAACGCTTTGCTTACTTTTGCTAACAGATGAACAGTTCAGAGTAGAGCTGTATTTTTATTTTAAGGTAGTTTATGCAGCATACGCTGCATCTAGCATACATTTTTGCACTCACATCATCTTGGTTACCTTTTCATGGGACTAGTAAAGCACAGTGAGGCTGACCTGGGCAGTGGCATGACATTTCCTTCTCTACTAATCATTGTCCTGTTGTTGACCATGTCAACCACCATGAAGTACATCATTAATAGCACGGCCACTGTGAGCCCCACCTGCCGACAACTGTTACTCTGTAGGTAAATTCTGCAGTGCCTGGTGAATAGCCTCTACCAGCTGAGAGAACCTATTGTGTGTGCAGAATGACGGGCTCTTTGTAAACCACGAAGTTCACAAAGACTTGGCTGGAGTTGAATGGTAAGAGGGTATGATGGCATTTGATGTTTTGTGGAGAACATGTGCCATTTACTTTCTAAGCAAAAGCCAGGCTCCAAGTGTCATTAGAGAGGAAGGCAGAGCAAGAAGGAGAATTATATGAGCCTGGCCTTTTTTCTCTTCAGAGTTTGGACTGACAAGCTTGGAACATTGCATTCCCATGCACCGTTGTAAAATGAGGGCAATTGAATTGCACCCTTACCTGTTGTGAAGGTTAAATGAGGTGGTTGTGAGATGCATGGAGCTATGCCCTGGTGCTCTGGGCCAGCAAACGCTTCTGTCCTTTAGAACTAAAGACCTTCACCCAGATGTCTGGGAGTGTGCTAGGATCTGCAGTGCCCCAGGATGGCCTTTGATTCAGAAGGGTATAGAGGAGATCAGAAGGCTGCTTTTAGGCCACTCTAATGCAACAGGATGGCTGTGTGGCTGGGGCTCTAACCTGAGTATGCTGATGCATGGCGG